CCTAATTATAGTCTGAAATGATCAATACAGGGATACAGGAAATATAAAAACCAATGCCCATTTTATAATGTACGTAATATGTTAATCACAGACTATTTCATTCTATAATCATTGTTTCCAACTTTAACCTATTTACGATGTCGTATCATTTTGTGACGATGTTCACATCAACTGCCTTAGTGCCCTATACTTGAATCAACTGTATCCGTGTATCGTGCTTATATAGAGTTTTCCCGCCTAACCAAAATCAAATATAAATTATTTCGGAAATTCACCCAGAATTTCAAATTCCATATAATGTGACAGAATTTACATCATTTCCCAATAACAAAGTGCATGATATTTGCTAACTTTTCAAAACAACATATTTTATGGCTATGATTGGCAGAAGAACCATCAAACAATAAGTTGAAAGGGTTTTGAGGACACCTCACAGTAGAAAAGAGGTATTGTATTCTGAGTGTGACAAAGTTTACGAAATATTGCCTTAAAGCTGTTCGATCACTGCCGTGCCCTTAAGGCCTATGTTGTATCATAATTGTTAGATTGACCTAATGTACTATATTTTAGACCAAAAAATGCTAATTGGGCAGCTATAATAAACAATGTCACAAAAATGTGACATTTTTTACATTATATTCCATGGTTATATCTACAAACATAAGCCTCACATCATTATTCTAAACGAGACATGGCTGAAAAATTCCATTCTCAGTAATGAGGTGCTCCCTGACAAATACAAAGTATTTAGGCTTGACCGATCCTTAAGATCGCATCCAGTGGATGCAACCCAGCCCAAGAAATTCAGAAAAAACGGTGGTGGTGTTCTGATTGCCCATAGAACAGACATTGATATCTCGAGTCTAAAGTTCTCTAAAGTTAGTGTTCAAGCTGAATTATTATCCATCATAATTAAGACTCAGTGTGGAAGAAACTTTTGTATATCAACATTTTATAGAGTAGGAACGCTTGGCTTAGATAATTTTGAATCTTTCAAGAAACATTTTGTTACTTTAGCATCTGCCAGAAAATTGCAAAGGCACATTCTGGTAGGTGACTTTAATTTGGCTTCGATTTCCTGGCCAGATGGTCAGTCATCTTGCCAGCTACATTCTAGCTTTGTAAATTTTCTCACTGATGACCTCGGACATACACAACTTATTAGCTCCCCTACTCACAAGTCAGGCAACACCTTAGATCTTGTGTTCACTAACATTCAAAACCTTATTAAGAATGTTAAAGTTTTAGATCAAAACGAAATGTGTATGTCCGACCACTTTTGTATCACATTTGACATTGATATTAAGACCAAGTATATTAAGCAGCCTAAAAGAAAGATCTTTAATTATAGTAAAGGTAATTTTAGGGGCCTGAATTCTGAGTTATTTAGCATCGATTGGGATAGTATATTTGAGTGTAATGATCCTTATCTTGCCTGGAGTCGATTCAGAGGAGTTCTCGGTGCAGCCTGTGACCGATGGATCCCTAAAAAGACCATTAAGTCTCAGTTCCAGCCCCCATGGTACGACTCCGAATGTGATCGTCTCCTACGAAATAAGGAGAAATGGAGAATAAGGCATAAGGGGAGCAACTCTGAGTCTCATAAACAAAAGTTTCGTGCATTTCGCACAAAATTTAAAAATTTGATGGACGAAAGAATGAGACTCAGTGTTGAGGATGACTCCGATGATGCTCTTATCTCCAAGAAATTCTGGACCTACGTTAAATCTAAATCAAAGTCAACCAGGATCCCTGAAACTGTCAAATATCATAATCGCTTTCGAAACAATCCATCTGATCAAGCTGCCCTTTTTAACGAATATTTTTATGAGCAGTTTTCTCAAGAGAGCGATTATGGCATTGACATAGATTTTCGTGATGATTGTTTTTCAAGTCTTGTGTTTAGTAGAGAAGATGTTCTGTTGATTCTTAAAAAGTTAAATCCTAACAAGGCCCCTGGCCCTGATGGGATTCATGGGAGAGTCCTCAAAAACTGTGCCCAAAGCCTTGCATACCCACTTAGTGTTTTATTTAACCTGTCTTTCTCGAGCGGATGCATACCCCCTGATTGGAAGCTGGCACTTGTAGTACCAGTGCACAAAAAGGGCGATAAGTCTTCGGTTGAGAACTACAGGCCTATCTCGTTAACATCTCTTGTAATGAAAGTTTTTGAAAGGTGCATAAAGACTGCATTATACGCTGCATGTTCTGATCTGTTGGATGACCGACAACACGGTTTTGTTAATGAACGTTCATGCACAACCCAAATGATACCTTTCACGGACAATCTTGCACTTGCATTGAATAACAGGTCCAGGACTGATATAATATATTTTGATTTTGCGAAAGCCTTTGATAGCGTTTCGCATGACCTCATTTTAAGTAAATTAAAGAATATTTTTAATGTCGATGGACTAATGCTTAAATTTATTAAGTCCTATCTTGAGGGGCGACAACAACAAGTAGTGATAGGAGGCCAAACGTCTTCTTCTCTACCAGTTCGGTCTGGTGTCCCTCAAGGTTCTATACTTGGCCCTTTATTGTTTCTAATATTTATAAATGACATGTTCTCCTGTGTCTCTGAAGGCACCAATATCGCCCTTTATGCAGATGACACTAAAATTTGGAGGGAGATTCTTGGTTACCCTGACCATCACATAATCCAAAATGACATCAATAGATTATATGATTGGTCAGTGAGAAATCGAATGAAGTTCCACCCACAAAAGTGCAAAGCCCTCTCTGTGTCCCTGCAAAGAAACGTGCTGGATAACTTGCCATTCAATACCTTCTTTTATAAACTTTCTGGAAGTGATATTGACTTTGTGCCCTCTCAGTCAGATTTAGGAGTTGCAATAAACTCCAGGTTTAATTGGGGTGCACAATGTAAAGCGCTTGTTTCCAAAGCTACATCTAGACTTGGACTACTTAAGAGAACATGTCATTTCACTATTGATAAAAGGCAGAAAAGATCGTTCTATTTAGCGTTAATTAGGTCTATATTTGAACATTGTTCTGTCATATGGTCCCCACAATCTGCAACTCATCTTCAACAGTTTGTTGCTATCCAAAAGAGGGCTATTAAATGGATCAATGGTGAACCTTACTCCAGTTATAATGACGATAAACTTGCTACAGATCAAAAGAAACTAAATATTCTCCCTGTTAAACAGAAGTTTATTTATAACGATCTTATGACCTTCTATAAAAATAGTGAATAGCATAATTCCAGTTTCGCTCCCTACATATATAGTCCTATGCCGTCCAGAGGGCACCCGATACACTAGGCACAATGCTCAAATAATTGATATGTCGGATACTTCAACTTACATGAGTACCACTGTGCCCTGCTCGGATGCCTTCCGAAATAGCTTTTTTCATAGATCTATGCTGAAATGGAATAGTCTACCAGTATGTATCCGGCAGTCAGAGCGGATTTCTACTTTTAAGGCCAAACTGATCAAGTACCTCTGGGCTGCCGATACAGTCTGGCCAGATTAGCTCATCAGTCTTATGAGTCTCAGAAATTTGTTTTTGTTGGTTACAATTCTGTCCGTCCAATTTCCTATCTGCTTGTCCTTTTCTTTTTTCTTTATCAGTTCTGACGGAATTGTAATGAACAAAATCCTTATAATTATTTATGATATGTTTGATTTCTTGTTAATGTTTGTCATTCAAATTTGTTAGACGGCCCCAACGTTAATGTGGCTCTTGCTATGTGTTGGTTCAGCCGAATTAATTATTATATAATCAAGTTTATTTTTCTCGTTAGTTGTCATCCGGCCAAACATTAAGCAACTTATATTGCAGTACCATTTATCATTTAGTAATCAAAATATGTCATTGTAATTTTGCATGGCTGAAATGTAACGCTTGATTTATATATATAATGATTAATTGAATTTTCAAATAAAAAAAAAATAGTGCCTAAAAGCAATACATTTTATTTCTGAGCAGTGCGTATGGGAGTATGGGTCACGTGGCTAATGTTCAGAACTTATGAACACGCTAGATTAATAGATGCTAAAATCAAGCCACTATCGTCGAAAACGCTATTTTAGAAATTTACCAATATCCTCAAACTTCAATGAACGTGTCCATAAATACAATGCAGGAGTAGGACCGCATAGGTTATTTTTTAAATGTTTACACATTTTCAAGTCCAACACAAGGAAAAGTACTACACCGTAAAGTAAAAATTGAAAACGGAAGTTTTTAGAGGGTGAGGACTGCGAGCGTGCTATAAATGATAAATCAGTCTACAGTCGAGTGTAGAGTGATTAATCATCATCCTGAAGACTGAGGAGTACAAAGTAAATAGGTGACAATAAGACATTGCATCAGGATAAAAATCGATACCTGTTGAAATAATTTAAATGCTCTACGAGAACGATTGATTCTCGATAAAATATCGATACAGTCTATAAGAGTATAAGGAATTGTATCTAGCTCCATCCTTGATGAATTTCAACATGGCAAAAAAGGATTATTTTCATTTGGAAAGCAAATAATCATTTTTAACAATAACTGTAAAAGTTCAAAGTTAAAAGTACACACTAAAAATTATGCATTTTCAAGTAAAATACCAGTCAGGTACTTGATCTATTTGACTTGAGCAGAAATCGGTTTTTAACTGCTGAATGTACCGTCGGAAGATGCAGACTTTAAGTTGATGTGCTTTAGCTTGCCAGATGAGACGATGAAAATATTTTGGGAAGACTTCTGACGTGCTTGCTTGATGATAAGTTGGGGCAAGATCCTGTCCTAGACCTGTTGTACTTTAATTGATTTGAACCCTTGTTTGTGAACGATCCCGTTATTGGCCCTTTACCTTTGGATAAACCAAACAAAAAGAAGATGTGTGATATTTTCTTACTCAAAAACGCTCTAAAGCTTCTCACGGTAAGGGAATACACAAAAAAGTTAGCCATAATGTTTAAGTAAGTAAGGAAATGTACCGCCCTAAGGAATGTGATATTGAAATGAAAACGTTTGTTAACGTTCCAGACCAGGTCTACCAGACAGATAGGCAGGAAGGAGATAAAGAAGACCCCCACTGTTAGCAGCACTGTTACAGCACCCTCTCTCCGCAGTCTCCCCCCATGTCGAGATGCTGCTTTGTGCGCTACTACGAAGATGAGGACGGATGTGACCACGAGGACAAGACAGGGAGTAATGAGAAGAACACTAGAGCAGATTAAAGTGTACCAGTTCAACCATATTGGAGCAAAGTGTTCGTTGTAGGAGAACGTGTAAGATTTGTAGTCGAAGTAGATATCGTCCCTGATGAACAACATGCTGCCCACGATGAGGGGCAGATAGAAACACAACATCAGACTCCACAGAGCCGCGCATATCTTGTGACCAAGCACTGCTGACAACCCTGCAGTTCTCAGAGGATACTTTAAATATACCAGCTTTAGGATTGTCATGGCACAGTTCAACAGCACAGTCGCTGAAACACACATGTTCTTGGTGTGGATGCCAACATGTCCGAGGAACACTCCGACCACCCCACCGTCTGCAACCAGTGCCACGGTGGTGGGTAACACTTCGAACAGAGCGAGCAGAATGTCAATAACTGCAAGGTTCTGCATCACAGCTACTATTACCTTGTGCAGCTTTATAGCGTTATACTTTACAGTGCTCACTAGTATTATGCTGTCTCCAATCAGTGACAAAACTAAAACTGTCATCGCCCAAGTTATCAAAATAGTCCGCTCTACGTAATTGTCCGTTATTCCATGAAGAGTTTTACGATCAATATCCTCCCAGTTTGTGGAGGTGAAGGAAGAAGTTGACAGTGTGGCTGAACCTTCCCAATTATTTGTCTGCATCTTGTTGCTACTACTAGTAGTACTACTATAGTAGTAGTATTAGTATACTATTATTGCTGTGTGGTGGAATATATCGTTGATACCATCTGACCCGTGATTCCTAAAATAACAACTCGTTAGGATATTATTAGCATATTATTAGAATGTTATTAGGATAAAAATTAGCATATTTTTTATTGAAATCTTTCAAATCGATCAATTACATACAAATTTACACAATGAATGAACAACATTAAATTTTCTCAAAAGTTAAGTATAAGACTCCGATAAAATCAGATTTTCTAAGACAAAATGTATGTAATCAAAGGACCTGAGGGTCACCAAAACACAGATGTTGAGAGCAAAATGCACCTCCTGCACAAGTATGGGCCCACGAAAATCTTGAATTTAAAATAGAATTTCAAATAGAAACACACAAACATATCAAAAGCAATAAAATCATATAATAAAGTGAAATCCATGATGTGATGATATGCACTAAAATGAGAAATGAGAAATACAGACAACAGGGATTTAAACTCTTATGAACATATTTTTAGCGTTAGGTAAACTGCCTCACATCTCTGTCTCGAGGGAATAATCTAGATCATAATCAAAGTCCTCCGGCAGAATTTTATCCCACATGTAGGAGGTCAATTTGCTTTTGAACTCAGAAATAGTCTCTATCTCACGTATAGCTAGAGGAATATGATTCCATTTGGAATGGGTCCTAAAGTAAAAGTTCTTAGCAAAAGCGTTAGAGCTTGCTCGTGGTAAGATCGAGCTTACAAAACATAAGGGGTCCATGTGGCTATTTCTTAACCTTGAGTGGCCTTGAAATGGTTGCAAATATGAGGGTAAAGTGACAGGAATATGTTGCTTCACAATTTTAAAGAAGAAAATAAGCTCAAGAAAGTCGAAGCGGTCTTCTATGGGCATAATCTTAAGCTGTCTGCATTTTTGAATGTATGTGGATGGTGGATAACTCATATACTCCTCGCGAAGAATCCACTTAATAGCACGCTTTTGGAGGCCCTCCAGCTTGCTTATCTGGGATTTGGTGACCGGTCTCCATATAACTGAGCAATGCTCAAATTGACTTCTCATTAAAGTGAGATACAGTACTCTACGACGATTTACATCTTGAACAAAATAGCAATTTCTCCTTGCCATGCCTAATTTTTGGTTGGCCTTTGAAAGGACTTTAGATCACTGGTCTTGCCAGTCGAGATTCTTGGTCACAAAAACACCCAGATCCTTTTCATGATCGACATAGTCAAGTGCGATTCTTCCCATGGAGTATACAAAGTTAAAGAGTGGTAGGACACTAAGGAGGGAAACTGTCTCGGATATCCTTCCTGCGACGGTGAGGACCTTAAATTTATCGGGATGAAATCTCATTTTATTAGAAAGTGACCAGTCATGGAGATAATCAATGTCCTTCTGCAGTCGCAGGATATCAGACTCCGAAACAATCTCACGCCAAATTTTAGTATCATCGGCATACAGTGACAGTTGTGTGCCTGGTGAAATCCCCACTGATATATCATCAATGAACATAATGAACAACAAAGGTCCCAAAATTGACCCTTTTGGTACACCAGATTGGGCGTTTCTCATGGAAGAAAATTTACCACTTATCAAGACCTGTTGTTGCCTGTCTCTTAGATAATCAGTGAGAAATTTCAGTAGCCTCCCATCAATACCAAATTTGCTCTTTAGCTTAAATAATTTAAGATCATGGTTAACTAAGTCAAAGGCTTTGGCAAAATCAAAATAGACTACATCTGTTCTCATATTTTCATTCAGTGAGAGAGCTAGGCTGTCACATAGACCTACAAGATTAGTTGCACATGATCTTTCAGCTCGAAAACCGTGTTGTTTATCGTTGATCATGTAAGTTAGTAAGTGCAAGTAACTCATCTTTAATTATGCGTTCAAGAACTTTGGTGATTAAGCATGTAAGGGATATTGGCCTATAATTTGAAACCTCATGTTTATCACCTTTTTTATATATGGGTACAACGTGTCCCAGTTTCCACTCCCTAGGTAATGTCCCAATGTTGTAACATGAATGAAATAATGTTACTATATATAAAGCGAGACGATATATATATATATCGATTAATACTTTCAACACTACTATATAACAAGTAATTTGAGAATTGATGTAAATAAACGATGCAAAGACTTTCGAAGATCTAATCACAACCGCTTTCTTTTATTGTGTAGAAGTCCAGCCATGAAATATATATATATATATATATTATGATTGGCTACTGGGACACGTCATACACACGGTTGGATTGTTAATTCGGTTGAAGTACCTTTACATCCATTATCACCATAATCTGAACATGATTTATTAAAAATTTGCAATATCGAAAACGAAAAATCTGAATAAACTGAAAATTTTAAAACTGAAAGCTGCACTCAATTGATGGAAGGCAAAAATTTACTCATAACTAGCAAGGTAATAACTACAAATGAACAGCAGATTTATAAATATCTCCGGGATTTCGACGCGGGATCATATTATCACTCAGCCCGGCCCGCTGTTAGATAAACATCTCAAGGTGATATCATCCCGCCCCGGAAATTTGTATAAACCCGGCCCGCTTTTTAGTCGTAACTGATGTTTATCATTCAATTCTCCGACTTACAATAATCAATGATACTGCTGATTAGAACTCGATAATAGTAGAACAGTTAGACGCGCGATCACGTGGGCGCGTCACGTGCGTACCACGTGCCACCAATAGCATACGCCGAGTCTATACCACGTGACACGAAAGCGCACCACGTGATATGAAACATCGTAACCGTCCACTTCTTTTACACGCAAATTCCTGGGAACGTTGCCAAAGCAGCTAATTCTTGGAATTTCTCCAACGCGTGGCGTGAGAAGTTGGCGACTAGCCAGCTACCCTTGTCCGTGCCCTAAAAATAGTATTGTTTTGCTTGCTCTCCTTCCAGCTCTTGTTCCTGCATGCTAACGTTCAAGCTATTGCTCCACTATGACAGATCGGTTTGACATTCAGATTGATGAACTGCTTTCCAATCGTGTTCTAAAGTATAAATCCCTTGTCGAAATCGCCGGAGATAATTATAATCCATAAACACTTCACGCTCAGGGCTAAATAAATGTAATCCCTCAGCTGGCGCTTCGGGATTACATATTAACACAAAACTCGTGCGCTGCGCGCACTCGTATGTGTTTATCAGATCATCCCGCTAGCGCGGGATGATCTGTTATATAAACCCTTTGCGTGGCGGGTTTATGTTATTATAAATCTGCTGATAAAAATTAGATAAAAGACATGGTAACTGATAAGAGTTTGAAATTACACGTAAGCAGATAAATTGTCTAAAATTTCTGTCTCAAATCAAGTTTATAGTGCATCATGAATTTAGGCTTGTTCGATCAAAGTTATATTAGGAGATATTAGGAAAATAGTATATATATATATTTATCTGTGCCATTTTACTGACACCACGGCATCAACTTTAACACGACTTTCCGCAAAAAACCTTAAAAGATATACAACTGAAACTTTTTTGACTGGGTCAAATGCTTTAATGGCCTTCAAATCAGCATGAAAAAATAAAAAATTGGCCAAGAAATAGGAGTTTTAGAGCCCAAAATTTGGACCCCCAAGTGGTGTCAAAAACGCGAATTAAATAGGTAATAATTATTTAGTCTCTTGAGTCTTGACACCACTTTAGGGTTAGACGGGTTCCTACTAGTAGTGATAATGGGTATGCAAGCCCAACAGCACAGTTTTTCAAAAGTTTCCCATGAATACCATCAGGCCCATAAGCTTTGTTAGGGTTAATATTGGAAAGGATTTTGCGAACCCTTTGGTGGTCAAATGCAATATCAAAGCGCCAATCGTTTGAATAATCAATATCTATGTCGTATAATGATGCTTCAGAGAACTGCTCGAAGAAAAAGCCATTAAATAAGTTGGCCTGGTCCTCTGGGCAGTTGCGGAAAATGCCTTTGTAGCTTACAAACTCAGGAATTCTTTGACTAGCTGTTTTTGATTTTACATATGACCAGAATTTTTTTTGTTACAATTAGAGCGCTATCATCTGATTCATTTAATGTTTCTCGCATTTTTTGAGCAACCACATTTTTGAAGTTTTTCCTGGCAAGGGAGAACGCTATTTGGGCTCTATCGCTTTTATGTCTATCTTTATGCAGTCTTATTTTCTTGCGCCATGCATCATAGCACTCTGAGTCAAACCATGGATCTTGTCCATCTGTCTTAACTGAGCATTTCTTGATGAATTTGTCAGTGATATTGAAAAGTTTTTCCTTAAATTTTTTCCACCCAATTTCAGGTTCTGTGCCACTAAGCAATGCATTCCAGTCTGTGTGCCGGAGTTCATGGTTTAGCCTCTCCCAGTTCACGTTTTTATAGTTATAGCACATACGCTTAACCGGCTTCTTCCTATTTACCTTAATGTTGATCTTAAAGTTGATTGGAAAATGATCAGACTTACAGACGCTATCTCGCTCACCTACCATTAGGTCACTGATATTAGAGTCAGAGTTTGTGAGCAAAAGGTCCAGTGTTTTGCCTTTGCAATGGGTGGGTGTAAGTACACATTGCCGAAGGCCAAGGTCTACAAAAGATTCAACAAAAATCTGCTCAATAGGACAGGAGCCGGCCAAGGTAGACCAGGAGACTCCAGTCAGGTTGAAATCTCCTAGGATAAATACTTTGCTTAGCCCTCTTCTCCGAAGAAGAGTTTTCAGAGATCCAAGAATTTTTTCATGATTTGCAAAGCCCAGTGTACCAACACGATAACATGTACAGATAACAAATTTAATGCCCGTTGATGTTGTAAACTCCACAGCAAGAATCTCAGCC